GTCCTGAAATAAGGTAATTTTATAATGTAATAATTCACAGTGGAACATAGCAACACATAAGATGTTTTAACTAAGAAATTGTGCCATGTTTTTGAAAAAGTAAGCTAGTTTTGGATCTAGGGCAATATATCGTTAAAAAAAAACTGATGCTGACCACTGTCATCCACATCCAGGAACTGAGATCMGCTGCTGGAGTTTTTAAAGTGGCATGTGGTCCCATTTTTGCCTGATGTATGATTTTGCTAATTTGTTTTTTTTTGTTTGTTTGTTTCTTGAAGCATCAAATGATTTCAAATGGTGAGAGGTCTGGATTGCATGCAGTCCAGTTTAGCCCCTGGACTCTGTTGCTGTGGAGCCTTGCTGTTCTGATGGACGCAGTTTGTGTTTTAGCATCATCTTGCTGGGAGACCTTCCCTGAAAAATGCTTTGTCTGGGTGGGAGCTTATGTTATTCTAAACACTGTATAGGTTTTTCKGCATTGATGTTGCCTTTCCAGATGTGTAAGCTGCCCATGCCAGGAGAACTAATGCAACCCCACACCATCAGAGAGGCAGGCTTTTGAACTGTGTGCTGATAACAAGATAGATGGTCTTTCTCCTTTTTAGTGAGGAGYGCTTTGTGTCCATATTGTCTAAGATTAGTCTGACCACAGAACAGTTTTCCACTTTGCCTTTCACCATTTTAATTGAGCCAAAAAGAGACAACAYTATTTCTGGATGGTGCTCACATTTGGCTCCTGTGATAGAGCTGTAACAAGCGTTTGAGGATGGCACAGTGAACTGTTTACAATGATTTGTAGGAGTGTTCTTGGGGCCATGTGGTGATGACTAACAGAACCAGAACTGCTTTTAATGCAGTGTCAACTGAGGCTCTGAAGACCACATGCAACCAACAGACTTTTGGCCTCCTCCTCAACACAGAGATTATTCCAGATTGTTGAAATTTTTATGTAAATAAATCTTAGATGAGGGAATAGTCAGCGTCAGCCACATTGGTCTAATTAGTCAGAGTAACTTGCCTTGTATTATATTACTTAGTATCACCCAGCAWAATACTTAAGTTCAAGAAGCAAACAAGCACAACCAAGGAGGCCCAAAAGGCAAAACACAGTAAGAAAAAGGTGTTTGTGAAAYGTCTTTATTTCATTTGAGTCATTCCTAAATATGTAGATCAATGGAAGGTTTGCATCCTGAAAGAAAAACAACACCATTGCCTTTTCTCATCTCCTTCCACCAAAAACAACTGAAACAAGAAACAGATCCACCTACAGGACATGAATGGTTCGAGTTAAGGTACCACAGACAAGTAATCTGACTTGGAATCAGTTGAAGGAGTATTTTTCCCCTCCAGATGCAGTAGATCAGTGT